TGCCGTTTACTCTGAAGGAACCTACTTGCATATGTGTACATTCCCGTGCTACAGAAAGAAGTAGATACCTTTAGAGTATCAGTGTGGAACAATCATTGCATGCGTAAGCAGAAGGCTAAAGAACTTCCTGATGGAGTACCAGAACATATTTACATGTATCCACAGAATTATGGAGGGGAAAAATGTGGCCTCACAGTAACCGAACAACAACTCCAGGAAACAGCAGAGCTCTCAGGTATGTTGGAAGGGACAAGTGATTATTTGGAGGCTGGGTTCAGAAGGGAATGTGAAAGACACATCCCAGACACGAATGATGTTGAACCTGCACAGGCAGCGAATGCTTATTTATTTTTAAAGAATAATTTTGATGTAAACAGGGTGTAACAGTGACCCATATTTTTTTTGGTGAACACTATGTATAAATTGTAATTTTATATCTGCTGACAATAAAAAAAAAAAAAAAAAGGAACTGCTGTTTACAATTCCCAAATTCCTTTCCTGGGAAAGAATTCTTTAGTGCATTGCAGCCTGAATTGACATTGATAGGATGGATAACTATATAAGTACATAAACAGTCTAAACATAATTGATTAAGTCAATTTTAATTACCATTTACTGAAATATGAGCCATGCAAATCACAGAGAAAAAACCTCGAACTCAAGTCAGCTGATAGGCAAATGAACACAACATGCTGACAATAACTACTGTGAACTTCTCTCCTGAGCCATAGGGTTCTGCATTAATGCTTCACCTTGAACAGCAACATAAATATATTGCAATGTAACTGACAATTAAGTGCTAAACGGCAAACAAAATCGAACAAATTGAACGCGGAAGAGTTGCTAAAATCAGATGACTGGGGAATCATCTTAACCCACGTTTCTATATGAGAGTGATTGTTTAAAGGGGATGTGGATACCTTCTTGAATCACACCACAGTAGCTTTAATAGATATGAAGACAAACAGCTCATGAAAACAAAATATTACAAGTTTAGCAGTTTGCAGTATTTACTGCAGTTGTATTTATCAAAAAAACTTTCAATGGCTTTTGTTGACAAGTTACCAATGCAAAAATAGAAGTTGTTTGCTGCATCCGTGTGAGTTGTTGATGCAATTTCAGGATCACACAAAGTGTAACCCACCCCTTGGATATCTAGTACAATTAATTTGGTGTTTGGTTTCTTGTAGGTGTAGTGACTGAAAGTCTTGGCTTTCATGCTTAGTTCTGATGCTTCTTCACTACAGATTAGGCCATCATTATTTACTAGTTTCACAAAGGGGCCATCAATGAAAGTTTCTATTGTTACAAACTCATTGCCCATAGATGAGAAGAAAACTTTGTGGTACGTAAAGGTTCTTCCAAACTCTAGTGCTGGTGCTTCTGCATCCATTGACTGAGCAAAGTTTCGTGCCAGAGCATTTAGTTGCACAGATTTCCCGGTGTGTGCTTCAATTGAACCGAACAGCTGAACTATACCAGGTATCTCTCCTTCTTTGTATTTCTTTAATATATAATCTCCTTTAGGAAGGCCTGATATAGCCTTGGCCATATATGCCTCTCTAAATGTACCTTCTGAAAACGACTTACGACGCAGTGAAAGTGTGACCGGAAAAGGGTCTAACCACTTCAATTCATTGACTGCAACTATTCTTGTAGATGGAGCGTGACAACATTTGTTTCTGGTTGTATAAGCTGGCCCACTTCCAGCATTTGACTAAGAGAGACAGAACGTAGTATTACAGACTATTTTGTAACAGCTGTAGCCACACTATTGCACTTTCCTGGGCTAACTGGCTCACTTTTATGTAATGGCCGGACGAAGACTGGTTGCTCGGCTTTTTGCGACTGCTCATATTCCAGAAATCTGATGTGAATAACCTTCGACCAGTCTTTGATCTGACTTTCATGCGTGTACGAGGGCCTGCGTTCGCCCGCGAAGACATCACATTCGCAATTTGTTCCAAAATGCGACTTACAGGCCTCCTTGGTATTCTTTAAAGTCGGTTCTTTGTCGAATGACACGAGGGTTAAAGGACCAATGCGGTTGTACTTTTAGCACTTGCGTTGAACGTTTGCCGATAGTCTCTGCACAGTCAAGGTGCCTTCAGTTACATACATACATACATACATACACACTTTATTTATTCCAGAAGCAGATGATAACTATTATATACAAATAAAACTAAAAAGAAAATACTTCTAGAAAAGGAAGTTAAGAGGTTATCCCTGTGTAAAAACTCCCTTAAAAGAAAAGACAAAATATAAATCAAAATCATTACAATCAAATATTTAAGTACGATTTAAGTTTAGATTTAAAATGCTGAAAGCTGTCAGCTTCCACTATATCACCCGGTAACTCATTCCATAATTTGACAATCCTAATAAAAAAAGAATTTTTGTAACAATTAAGTCTAGCTGGTTTAATATAGAGTTTGTATTGATGATTTGCTCTCGTAGACCGAATCGTGGCAATATCAAAGAAGTCTTCAAAATTTAAATGATAAAAACCAAAAACTATCTTATAACATTCGACTAAAGATAAGTAAGTTCTACGGTCAGAGAGAGTGGGCCATTTTAGCAGTTTGCATCGGTCTTCATAGGACATTTCTCCTTTGCGTTGATTTAAAGCGAGTCTTGAGGCTCTTCGCTGTACATTTTCAAGGGTATGGATGTCCTTAACAAGGTAAGGACACCAAACAGGTACCGCATATTCCAAGATTGGCCGTACCAGAGACATGTACAGCATAGAAAAAACATTTGTGTTAGCGGTGCCTACTGAGCGTTTAATGGAACCTAAAACTTTGTTCGCTTTATTGACAGTGATACTTATGTGATGGCCCCATGAAAGATCTCTAGTTAGTGTGACACCGAGATCTTTAAAATTAGTCACATCTTTCAGGGGCTTTTCTAAGAAATAATTAGTTACCGACTTATCGCGTAAATGCGTAATTCGCATAGATTCGCATTTGTCTGCGTTGAAACGTAGCTGCCACTTACGAGCCCATGCGCTAAGATTATTAAGATCATCCTGAAGAAGCTGACTATCTTTTATAGGGTCAATTATCTCTCTGTAGATCTTCGTGTCGTCTGCATATAGTTTCACTGTAGATGATAGGAATTCAGATATGTCATTAATATACAATAAAAACAATAGGGGCCCGAGAATGGTTCCCTGTGGAGTTCCGGAGGTAACGCACGACCAATCAGAATAAGATCCCCTAACGACTACACGTTGTTTGCGCCCCACCAAAAAATGTCTCAGCCAGTTGAGTAAACATTCGTCGATGCCGCTACATTTCAATTTTAAAAGCAGTCGCTCATGAGGAACGCTGTCAAAGGCTTTGGCAAGATCCAGAAAAACAACATCGGTAGGAGTGGATGAATTACGGGATTTCGCCCAGTCATTAAACGTTGATAACATTTGAGTTGTAGTAGATCTTCCTCGTAAAAAGCCAAATTGGTTGCTATTGATAAAGTCGATTTCGCGCCAGAACTTAATCATCCTATCAAAAACAATTTTTTCACAGATCTTACAAGCAATTGAAGTAAGGGAAATTGGGCGGTAATTTTCTCTCGAAGATTTGGAACCCTTCTTATGTAGAGGTGTAATGTCGGCATGTTTCCATTCCTCAGGCAAAAGGCCAAGAGACAACGATTTGTTTATCATATACGTCAACGAAGGTGCTAATTCCGAAGCACACGACTTAAAAATGCACGGCGCGATATGGTCAGGCCCAGGAGACTTATTGGGCTTGAGTTTCAGAAGATGGCGTTTGACCTCATTGACAGAACAATCAATTTTCGCAAGTTTCTTGTCAACAGTGCAGTCTTGAGTGGGAAAATTTGCATAATCTTCGGTAGTAAACACCGAAGAGAAGTATGAGTTCATACTCTGAGCAATACTGAAGTCGTCAGTCAGAACACATCCATCGACGCTTATAGAGATGAGATTATTAGTGCCTCTTCTCTTGGACTTAACAAAATTCCAGAAAGGTTTCGGGTTTTCATTTTCCTGAAGATCAAGTGCAAGTTTCTCTATATAAGACCATCTAGCTGTGTTACAAAGTCTCTTAACAGAATTGTTGAGTTGCCGATATTTTTCCCAAATAGTTGAATTGTTTTTTCTGCGAGCTCTATTATACAATAATTTCTTCTTTTTGCACAAAACGATAAGTTCCTGTGTAATCCAGGGGGCACTGGATCTCTTTTTATTCTTGCGTTTGGGAATGCACTCATCCACTGCTGTAAATAACAAGTCTTTCCAGCAAGCCCAATTATGATTAATATCGCTGTCGAAGAAGGCGCAATGCCATGGAATATGAGATAACAGCGATCTTAAAGTGGTAGCGCGATGTTCGAAAGAAATTT